GGAGCTGCATGTGCCGAGCGCGGGCCTGGCGCACGCGGTGGCCTCGCCACGCAGCCTGGATGACCACGGTGGCTCTATAGAGTCGTGCCAGGTTGCGTCGCACGTGGTGGCCACGCCAGGTGGCCTGGATGACGGTGGCCCTCTGGTGCCACACCTTGATGGTACGGCGCACCAGACAGCCGCGGGCGCAGGCCTGGATGACGGTGGCGGCACGGATGACGACCCTCTCCATGTGCTGCAGCGACACGGTCCAATCCGGTGTCCCAGCCTGGCCTGTGCGGCCCCACAGTCCCGAGCCCCGGGGTGGCTGCCACATGTTGTGGGGGCCCACAAAGCGGTCCAGGGGCCGGACTGCCACGCTGGGCACAGGAGAGTTGCACGGCTGGTCACATGTGCCGGTGTCCACGGGGCCCTGGGGGACACCAGGGGTCAGGGACGGCTTGCAGTGGCTCACGGTGGGACCCGAGAAATAATGGGGGAGCTGGGCCTGGAGGGACCCCGGGGTCAGGGACAGCTTGCGGTGATGAGCTCTAGGGCCCGTGAAACACGGGAGGGACTGGTCAAAGAGGGGCCACTGGGGTGCAGACTCTTGGCCCCGGGATGGTCTAGGGCCACTTCTGCCCTGTGCCACACTCTCGGGCGTCAGGCCCGAGTCGAGTCTGGGACTGCGGGGACCAAGCTCAGCTGCAGGCCCTTCCAGCAGCGCTGGGACCAGGCTGTCCTGGTGGGACTTGCAGAGTCTTCTCGCGTCAGGAGACTGAGCAGGGCTGCTCGGGGGCCAGTCGTGGGGTGTGGGTTTCTGGGGTGCCCTGGGGGCGGCTTCCCCCTGGGGGAGAGCAGCTGTGGCTGGTTTGGCCCAGGACTGACGGGCTGGGACATGGGCCATCACGCCAGCGGCTCCCAACCTCCAGGGAAGGCTGGGGCTCCCCACCCTGGCCACAGACTCTGGGTGCAGGCTGTCTGGGGCCAGCTGGGGCACTTGTGAGGCTGCCCTGGATGCCACTGTCCCCTGGGAACAGCCCCCGACTCCGAGCAGAGCCAGAGATTTGTGTAGAAACGAGCGGCCCTCGGAGGCCGCAGGAGCCAGGGGCCGGCATGTGGCCCCATCTAGTACAGACCCCGCCTGCACACCAGGGCTCCAGCTGGCAGCTTCAAGGGGGAGCCCGGGGGGCCCCCAGCTGCTCGCTGATTTTGGCTGGAGAACTGCGGTGGTGTCACTGGCCATGGGGTGCCTGGATGAACTCAGGGCCCAGGCAGGGACAGAGGCCCCACGGATGGCATGGCTGGGAGCCGCCTCCCTCAATGGTGGCATTGAGTCTTTGGGAAGTGGCCCCTCTACAAAGAGGGGCCGGGGGTCACAGTGCACATCTGTGTCCAGGGGACCAGGGTGCAGCCACGCTGGGCCCTGCAGGAGCTCAGCCGGGCCAGGCTTCCTGCAGGACCCTGGTGCCTGGGGTGCACTCTCCCATGCCGCTGCCGGCCTCCACCTGGCCTGGCCACCCGGGGCCCCAGACATCCTCCTCCCAAACCGTGATGCCCTTGACAGGGCTGGGGATGCCTGGCTCTCAGCCAGGGCCTGAGGATGAATTTGGGCCAAACTGACGGCACCGGAGCCCTGGGAGGCGCCGGTAGGATCCTCTCCAGGCCTGGCTCGGCGGAAAGGGCGAGGAGAGAGACCTATGAGCAGGGACCTTGGCAATGGGCTGCAGCCCACACACTCTGCCATGGAATCCAGGGGTACCTGTGGGTCCAGCGAACAGGTTAATGAACTTGGGGGCAAGCTTGGGGCTGAAAATCTAGCCAGGGGTCCTATGGAGAGACAGGGCTTCCCCCTGGGGCCAGATGCTGCCACCTGCCTGGTGGCCACCCTACTGGCAATCACAGGCCCTGGGGGGAGGCCCTGGCCTATGTCTGTGATGACAGACCCTGGGGGGAGACTAAAAGCTAGGCCACTAGTGTCTGGGACCACAGTGTCCATGGTCACCCTGCCTGCACAACCTGGCACAAGGCCACTGCTGGCCACGCCCATCCCAGGGGTCTGAGTGACAACACCTGAATATTGGTAGCTGGATGGGACCCCAGTGGCCATGCCAAGGGACTGGTGGTACAGAATCACTGGGAGAGGGACGCTGGCCGAACACACACTGGGATCCAGGTCACCTGGTGACAGCTGCGCCTGGTTCATCCTGTGTCTCTGGGGCACCGCAGCTGGAGAGAGGCCCTGGCCCACCCCTGAGGTCCCCGAAGATCCCCAGAGCAGCACAGGAGCAGCTGTCTCCAAGACCTGGGATGCCACAGCAGCTGTACCATCAGCCCCGGGACACTGGCACACAGAAGCGTCTGTGTGTGGCCAGGAGGTGTCCCCGGCCAGGCCACCTCGGGGACCCACCGGGAACAGACTCTGGAATGCACCAGGAGCCATATGGCCCTGGGGTGCGCTGGCGGTCACGCCCCTGAACCACATCTGATGGGACGCACCAGGTCCCCACACTGGACCGGGGTCCTCCTCAAGGGCCACGCATGCCTGACAGTGATGGGGCCCTGGGACAGTGTCTGCAGTTGGTAACCCCTCGCAGATACTGGGGGGCCGATGGAACTCGGGGCACAGCCCATCGAGCTCAGGGTCCTGGGGGTCTGGGACTGTGCTGGGCACCATGAGAGGATTGTCCCTCAGCCCCATGCTGCTCCCTAGCAGAGCCTGGTCCGGGCCCCAGCCCGGCCGGCGGCCCACCCCTGGGTAGGATGGGTGAGGCTGAGCGGGGATAGTGGGTATCCCCAAGCCCGGCAGACCTGAGCCCCCCACAGACACGGAAGGTGGCTCAGGAAAGCTGCGACCTCCCCGCCAGACCATGGGTCGCCGGAGCAGGCTTGGGGACCCCAGAGTGGCCACACGTGGCTGGGACAGATAAGGGCACATCCTGGTAGCCAGAAATGGGCGGGGCGGGGGCGGGGGCGGGCCCACCCCATCCACAGGCCATCCTGTGGGACAGAGCGGGCTGGCTTGGGCCTGGGGACCCCTCACTGGCCATAGGCAATGGGGCCAAGCTTGGGGGCTCCCTGCTGGCTATAGACGGTGGAGACAGGCTTGGGTTCACCCCACAGACTGCAGACGGCTGGTGTGAGCCTGGGCCCACCCCACTGGCCACAGACGGGTGACCCAGGCCGAGGGATGACCTGGTGGACACAGTCGGCTGGGACAGGCTTGGTGTTAGCCCAGTGGCCGTAGCCGGCAGGCTGAAGGTCGGGGTCCCTCCAGTGGCCCCAGAGGACTGACCTGGGCATGGGGTTACCCTGCTGGCCAGTGAAGGCTGAGAGAGAAGACAAGAAAATCTGGGGGCCACAGATGGCTGCAGGCCCAGAGCGAGAACTTCGGTGCCCAAAGACAGAGTCCTGGGGCTGCTCTGGGGGGTCCCCTGAGCTGTTCTCTCTGTCTCCCCCACGGGGCTCTGTCCCTCCTCTCCCTCTGTGTCCCAGGGGACACTGAGAGCCAGGCGGCTGGACACCATGGTGTGGTGCAGGACAGGTGCATGCTCAGGGTCCTTGGGAGGCAGGCAGGGGAGACGCAGGCTCAGGGACCTGGGGCTGGCTCCTCCGGCTTCTTCTGGGTCCCTTGGGTCCCGGGGCTGCCCCACAGGTTCCTGAGACAGCAGGGCCTCCAAGCGGGGCTCCTGATCCCAGCTGCCCTTCCCAGTGTGGTCCAGGACCTCGACGGTGGCCACGCTGCCTGTGGACGTGGTGGACAGGCTGGGGGAGCTCTGGGAATCCCAGTCTCCCGGGCTGATGGGTGCAGAGCCCCGGGAGGTGCACTGGGCCAACACACTGGGCACATGGGCTCCCTGCCCACCGAGGGGGGACCCTGGCAGGCCGGCCAGGGGCTCCTGAGAGGAGGCCAGGCCGGAAGCAAGACCCTGGGTCGGACTCCTTTCCTGTCGGGTGGGTGACTGGGGACGGACTTGCCCCAGCCAAGTGCTCGTGGACACTGACATGGGGCCACCTCCCCGGCCCCCAGCAGCCGTCTGTGCATTAGCGGTCACCTTACTGATTGTTGGGAAGCCTTGTCTGGGATTGGGGGGCTGAGCCTTTTTGAGGTTCTGTTGAGTGGCCTTGGATGGCTGCCTCAGGCCCCTGCCCATGGAGGGGCGAGGGAGGCTGGGGATCCCCTTTTTGGTGCCCACAGTTTGACACCAGCAAGCCGCACCCTGACCCGTGGGGGAAGACGGTCCGGAGGGGGTGCCCTGTCCCACTCCCGTGCCCCCCGGAGGCCTGTCCGAGGCCGCGCTGCCCTCCCCCGATGATGTCCCGGTTCGAGGGGCCACCCTGCTGACCACAGGTGGCTGCTGGGTACTCGGGGCTGGCCCGTGGGTCACCGACAGCCGGCTGGTGCTTGGGCCGATGCCAAAGGTGATGAACGGCTGCCAGGGGCTGAGGGGGCCACCTCCCACCACAGGGTTGGCATCAGACGCCAGCTCACCGGCCCGGCAGGCTGGGTGTGCAGTTTCCTTTCTGATCTCGGGGCTCAGGTGAGGGTTCGAGCAGACCCTGCTCCACCTGGCCAGGCAGGAGAGCAGGAGGTCTGGGCCAGAGCTGACAGATGTCCGGCTGCTGGAGGCAGCACTCACAGGGAAGTACGGCCAGCGGGGTGGCCCCTCGAGCGCGGCCCCATCGCCCCTGTCCCCCGGTGCGCCCACGGCCAAGCCCCCCCACATTCCCACACCACGCATCCTGACCTTGTGGGACTGCAGCCACACGGGGGAGCCCAGGCCGGGGCCCCACGCCGGAGCCGGTAGCAGCGGCATCTTGCTGCTGGTGACTTTTGAGGAGGCCTTGGGGAGGACGGCCCCGGTCCTGGGGGCCGCCCGGGACAGGAACTGGCTGAGGACGGCACCCAGCTCACCCTGGCACAGCGCCCGGCTCAGAGCCGCCCGCTCCTCCTGAGTCAGTGCCCTGCTGAGCACCTCGGCCAACCTGCCCTGCACGGCCTTGGTCAGCTCTGTGCAGAGCTCGGCCCGGGGCAGCGCGCGGGACAGGGTAGTGCCCAGCTCGCCCCAGGACAGCGCCTTCGCCAGGACCATTCCCAGCATGCTCTGGGGCAGGACCTTGGCCATGGTGGCCCCCAGGATCTCGCTGGACAGCGCCTGGTTCAAGATGGCCCGCACCTCTCCCTGGGAGAGGGCCTTGGTCAGCAGCACGCGTAGGTCTTCCTGGGAGTCCAGCATGGTGACCAGCTCCGCGCACAGGGCTGCGATCTGTGAGGCCACCATGTCCTCCTGGCCGGGTGCCGCCTGGCTGGGTGTTGGCAGCTGGGCCCGCGTGGTCTTGCTGTTGCCCCAGGGTTCCACATTACAGCTGGGGTGTGTGGCGGCAGCCGCAGCCAGCAGAGGAACTAGCATGCCCTGCCGCTCCGGGCCCATGTCGCCCTGTCTGTGGTCCGGCTTCACGCGGGACCCTGAGCCAA